TATATTAATCACATAAATATGTATATATGCAATATAATATGTATGTAATCCTTCTGAAATATAAGCAGTGTCATATTTTGCATCCCGTCCTAGAATCTGCCATTTCTACTCAATACTATATGAAAGCCTTGTATTGAAAGTCCAAGTGTTGAAAATTTGACAGACAATATACTGTGAACGACTTTGGATGTTTCATTAAAAACTGTCTTTACTTACTAACCACATGATCTTAGTCTAGATACTCAGTTTCTCTGAGCATGTGCTGTCCTATCTGTAAAGCGAACAGGGCTGTTTTTAGCATCAAATGAAACACATGGTGGAGCAATTGGCCATAGGGGACACTCAGAGAATGCCTGCTCCTTCTACCCTAAGTGACAAGGACACTGTGAACTGTACCAAGTGAAAACATACACATAAAGACATGAAATGGTAATGCTTAGGGAGAAATATGTTCTATCAAAAACGAATTTAAGAAAAGTGCAGTAAATGAATGAGAGAGGATTTTTTTTAAATAGCAGAACCTGAATCTGAGTATTTTAGAATTGTGTAATACACATCTATTAATACGCTGTAGTAAGTTGTATGTATCATTGCTTGGTTACAGTGATGTTACACAGTTTAACCAATAATAATAAACTGGACAAATAAAATAGAGCACAATTTTGAGAAATGTGTTTAAATTTAAAATGAATGCATAAATAATATAATGGCTATAGAAATTAGGCAAACATCTTTAAGATTCTTGCCAGTAAAATTTTCACCCTATAAACTATGTGAAAATCTTATCCCTGGGGAGGAAAGACTTCTATGATGAATGAGAAATAAAATGTTATACTATGTTATTGGCAGAAAGGCGTTTGCAGCCTTCATATATGGTTTACATATGGCAATATACCATATTTCCCCATGTGTAAGACGCACCCTTTTTCGAAAAATTTGGGGTCTAAAAACTGGGTGCGTCTTACACAGTGGTTGTAGATTTTTTTACTTGCATTTCCCACAAGTGATGAGAAATTGTATGAATTTTATGATGAATAAAACTTGAATTCAGGGCCGGCCGAGTGGCGCGATGGTTAAGAGCTGGCTTGGGATGCCAGAGGGCCCCGGTTCGGACCCCACATGTGAGGGCCAGTGACACTGCCCTCCGCGGCTAGGATGCTGAGCAACGGCTCAACCTGGAGCTGGGCTGCCGTGAGTTGCTGGTGACGGCGTGGGCTGCAGCCCCTGTGGCGGTGGGTTGCCATGGGCTACCGTGTGTAGCCAGCAGCCAGCGTGAGCGGCCAGCAGCTGCAGTGAGCGGCCGTCCAGAGGCCGGTGACTGAGCTGCCTCGCCCGGGAAGAGCGCAATGATGGTGCCAACTTGGGCCAGTGAAGCAACGTCCTCCACAACTAGACTGAAGAGCAAAAGGAGAGCAACTTGTCTGTTCCCCTTCCCCCAATTCCCCAGCGCTGTTCCCATCCCCCCAATTCCCCAATAAAAATCTTTAAAAAAAAATTATTCAATAACTTTATGCAATACATTTTTTTCAAATTTTGGGCCCCAAAATTAAGGTGCATCTTATACATGGGAACGTCTTATACATGGGGAAATATGGTAATTAAAAATTTAAAAAACGAGCAAAGCTCTGACAAGTGTGTAATGTTTTGCTGCTTTCTTTATTTGTATTTAATTCCCTGAAGTGCACAATTGTATTGGCTATAGCTACTAATCCCTGCAGAAAAATTTTATTTACAAATTTCCATTTTATAAATGCTTCTAGAAGTACTAGTCCATTAGTGAGCCTTCCTGGCTTTGCCTCATCAACAAATTTTTGTTTCTTTTTTTAATGGAAAAATTTTAAATTACACAAAAATAGAGAGAGGAGTCTAATGAGCCCACATATACCTACCCATCACCAGCTTCAACCATTATCAACATTTTTTTCACTCTCATTTATCTGTGTCCTCAGCCGCTTTATTTTATTCTGTTTATTTTTTACTGGAGAATTTTAAAGCAAATCTCCAAATTATATGAATTTCACTCATCAATACTTCAGTTTCATCAACAAATTTGAGCAGCATCCATTCACTTGTTCAGTACCTACAATAGGCCAGCTACTGTGCTGAAGACACACAGGTGGGTAAGGCTTGTGTCCTGCCCTTGAAGCTACGAGGGGAAGAATTTGTAGTGTCATCCATATGTTATAAAAAGGGTTAAACAGGTCAATGGAGCCCAGGACAGAGCGCCATCATAGTGCCCAACCAGAGACCTAACCCTTGATCTAGCTGGGAATGGCATCATGAAACCTGAGAAGCTGACCTAGAAAAACTCAGGATTGAGAGAACTCAGCAGGGGTCCCAGGTAAGTCCAAGGGAATGGCGAGTTCACTGGCAGAAGGAGAAAGAGGTCATGGCAAAGGAAATGGACAGGTAAGGAGAGAAGTTGGGGAAGAAAATGGGTACTGGCAAAGCTTTTAAGCTCTTCTGACCATAATGTATATCAAATATTTTTAATTGCTGTCATTTCATAATATGCAGGTAAAGGATAGAGTTATTCTGAGGCATGGTAAACTGTTGGGACAATATATAAGGCACTCTAAATACTATGTTTTGACCTTGACTCAATCCCTTACATCAGAACCTTGTTTTTCAGTACATAGGGGATAGCCAGATTACAGCTCTCTCTCCCATGGAGCAATGCTTAGAATGTAATGCATCATTCATATGTTCATTCATCCATCCATTCATTCAACAAATACTTGAGTGTATACAATATGCCAGGTACTGTTTATTTGCTGGGGACACAGCAGTGAACAAAACAGGCACGAACTGCAATGAAGCTCATATTCTGATAGGAAAGACACACAAAATAAAGGAAACATGGAAACATATAATATCAGAGGTAAGTACTATTAGGGAAAATAGAGTAGTTTCAGAGTATAGAGAAGATTGGAAGCCCTCTTTTGTATAAGGTAGTAAGAAGAATATATCACTCTTCCATGTGCATCATCTAACAGGGAGCTGTTTCATTTGATTACTAAGAAAGCGGAGGAAAAAGAATATTGTAGATAAAATTGTTCACTGACTAAATTTGTTATCCAATAAAAATGAAGGAAATTTACCTGAAGGCACTATTCTTTTCCATTCCTTTGGAACTGTTATCTTCCATTGCTCTCCTTACCACCTTTAGCCAGCCTCTGTTCCTCTAGCTTGGGTAACGATGGTAATGGCAGTAGTGGGGACGTGGTGGTAATGGTGGTGATGGCCTTGGTGGGGATTCCACATAGTTGATAGAACAGCTGTCTGTGGAATGTTTACTACATCACCTGGAACCTCAGTCGGAACTCACTTTGTGATTCGGATGGACTGTTAAGCAGTAAGGTCACAAATTGTATTAAATAACAAACTTGTCTTTGACATTTCTGAAAGAAGGCTTACTCCTTAAATATAAGCCTTATGCCTGCATAATAGGATAAAAACAAAATAAAGGGAGTAACTATCAAGTGAGGTTTTTTTTTATTATTATTAAGTCGTAGCATTTCAAAATAGTTATTTCAGGAGGTTATCCTTAATATACTTAATCCTTAATATACAATCATATATGCCTTTCCACTGACATATATCTCAAGCCATTTCTCTAGGACACTCTCTCTTACCTGCCCTGTAGAACCTGCCCACCCCATCTTGCTGTTCTAAGTCATGGCCTGAAAATGATAGACCTTCTACGGGCTGTCTTTTTGTTTCTTGAGCCCGCCTTCACCCCTGGCCATTATCTTTAGTTCATAGGTTCTTCATCCACAGCTGCATTCCACCCTCTCACCCCAGGCTAGATTAGAACTAGAGGCCTGGAGCAACTTGCTTGCACAATGAAGAAGTCAGGACAAGCCCAAATGCTTACTGGACATCTCCATGGGGATATATCTTTACCCCAAATCAACATGTCTAAAATGGAACCCACTACCTTTCCTCCAGAATCTTCTCCCACCATTAATTTGGCTAGGCTGGAAACTGTATTTCCCAGAATCCCTTGCTTGTATGGTTTCCCAAAACAGGAATCTGAGAATACTACATCTGAACACCGTCATGGTTCAACGAGATGACCACAGAGGCAGCGCTGCCTAGGGGGCTTGAGCTTGTCCTTGCTCCCTCCACTCTGCATTTAACTCTTCCTCCAGGCTGCAGGTAGGCCCTGCTGACCAACAGCAGCCTCGACCCATCAGCAGATGCCTGCCTTTGGACCCACCAAGGCACTTGCATCCTTTAGACTTCCCTTTGTGGGCCACTCCGGTGGTCGGACACCCTCGGCTTCTCAGACTGACTGGTTAGGGATTTCTCGGGTTCTTCACTTCCCCTCCCCAGATGGCCAATTGCCCAGCTCCTCCTACAAACTAGGTACGTAAGGTCTAATTTCAACAATACATTTTTTATTCCATAATTGCTAGGTTTCGGCTTTATTCACTGAACCCTATCTAGCCGAAACAGGCACCACTACCACCACCCTCTCCTCCCTTTCAGGATATATACATTCATCATTAAGGCCCATCAGAGCTCTCTCTTCAATGTCCCTCTAATCATCCACTTTCTCCTTCCCCACAGCGATCACACTAGTTCAGGGTGCCAAACTATTTTGCCGGATGTAGCACCACCGGCCTCCTAGCTGCCCCACCCACTTTCAGTCTGGTTGCCTCAGTGCATTCCCCTTGGAGCAGCCAGACGTGATCCAACTGCCTAAGGCTTGTTAGAGGCTTGCCCTAGTTCTTGGGATAAGTTCCTTACCGTGCTTGACAAAGCTCTGCCTCCTTGGCTTCTGCTAACGTCTCATCATTGCTCCCTCACCCCATTCCAATATTGTGTAGAGCCATTAAACAAATCGTGGCCAGTCTGGTAGGAACGGGATTTGATTGTTTTACACTGAATGTCTTATTATTCAATTGCTTTTTCATTCACACCACGTATGCATGTACTGCATACTTCTTTCCAGCAGCTGCATAGTCCCCGTGCCACTGTGAGCATGTGAAGAAGTGAGGCATCTCCTTCAAGCAAGCACTGAGCCTCCTGAGGCTTCAGCTCCCTGGGGTGGGGCATCTTACATGGCTGCTGTGTGCTCATATCTCACCTCCACATGCAGCCCTCAGGCCGGATGGTGTTTCCGGTAGTAGGAAAACCCCCTTACAGAAGTGAACCAGTGACTTAATGTCAACTTCTTTCCAGAGAGGCAAAAATAGAGAAAACATCTTCCATATGAAATTCTTCCCAAGGGAGAAGGTGGGTATATCTCTACATGGATGGATTCTCAGTAGATTGTCTTCCAAAGTGTATTTGTTGTCGGTTCATTTTGTTTACCTATTAATTGATTATTTTATTTATGCTATTTTATTGACTTAACAACGTGTTGCACTTTTGTTTATTTATTTGATATCCAAATAATGCATTCTCTTTTTTTTTTCTTTTTAATATTCAAACAATAAAAAAGGTATGCAGAGGAAAAGCAGAGGCCTTCCTCTCCCCAAGGTAACCGCCGCCAAAAATTGGGTATGTATTGTTCTAGACTGGCTTCTGTGGCTTTTCATATATACATGAAAACATAGACACAATCTATTTTTAGATTTAGGCTTAATTTGCATACAGTCAACTGCACAAATTTGAAATGTATAACTTGGTGGATTTTTATATAGGAACATACTTGTAGGCTTCATTAAGCCCTGTTTTCTGTATTTTAAAAAATAACTTGGCAACATAATCCTATTACTATTTTGTAAATGTTGTCTGTCATTAGTACGGGGTGGGGATTTTTCAGGCTAGTGCCTATCAAGCTACCCCATTCTTTTTAACTGCTCTATTACATCCCATAGTAAATGTAAAGATGTAACAGATTATTTCACAATTTACCTATCATGATGGAAATTATTTTTCTGTTTTAATAATTAACATTACAGTGAACCTGGACACATGTGTACCGGCCTCTTTGTCCACATGCTGGTGTTTGTTGGATGTCCAAACTACAGAAAGCCTGCATGCCGAGTGGAACGAGCAAGGTCTTAGGAGCAGGCAGGCTGAACTCCAATCCCAGCTGGCTGGTGCTTTTCGATTAGCTCACCCAGTTCAGGCCAACATTTTGTCAGCTGTAAAGTAGAGATAATAGTAATCTTGCTGGGTTGGTATGAAATTAGAAACGTCTATCAAATACTGAGCACAGTGTATGGGGTAGATTCTCAATAAGTAATAATTTTTATTGTTAATATTAACCTGGTAATATTATTTGCTATCCCCACATTTCACAATCCTCTTTGCACTTGTATTTCCATTAAACAATCTTTCCCTGATCTGCTTTCATCTATTTGTATTTTTCTGCTCACTTTGGGTCCTCCCTTATGCCTACATGTAACCTCATCACCCTAGCTCCACCTCACCTTTACCTATGCACACACACACAGACATAAGTATTTATGCGAGCACATACGCACATGCGCGCGCGCGCGCACACACACACACACACACACACACACACACAAAGTAACCTGAAGGNAAAAACACAACACCTTTAAAATCCCACCACACTGAGAGCATAACCTTCCTCTGATGAATGAAATGTCTGCTTTCAACGTCGTTTGAGGCGAATCATCACATCGGGACCAAAACCGTTTGCGCACCACATTGTTGTAAACAATCCACTTTTCATCATCAGTTATCAGTCGCTTCATAAAAAGGATCGTGTTTTCCTCACGTTTAATGAGCATATTGCAGACATTTATACGTGCCGTCAAATGAACTTCTTTGAGTTCATGCGGAACCCAAATATCGAGCTTGCTTACGTATCCCAGCTTCTTCAGGTGGCCATGAATGCTTGAATGGTGGATGTTCAATGTTTCTGCAATCTCTTGTGTCGTGTAACGTGGGTTTGACTCCATCAATGCCTTTATTTTGTTGTCATCAACCTTGGTGGGCCTCCCTGACCAAGGAGCGGTTGTCGAGATCAAAATCGCCGCCACAGAATTTTGTGAACCATTGTTGGCACTGATGTTCTTGTAGAGCATTGTCACCGTAAACTTTATGCAACTTTTCACAGGCTTGACACGCATTCTTCCCTTTATGGAAAGAAAACAGTAAAATATGGCAAAAATTCACAGTTTGGTCTTCCATCTTCAATTTGTTGTAAAATCTCCAAAACTCAACCAAATCGCTCAATTTTTTTTAAATGAAGCTAGAACTGTCAACTGTCAAATGACATAACAATCACATAGATGCGAATGACTCTAGTACTTCCAAAAATGAACTAGTGCCATCTGTCACAAGCTTGTGTCATGACTTTTCCGACAACCCAATAACTCAGGCTAACTTGGCTAAAACTCTTTTACCCCTGGGCTTTTCTTTTTGTCAAGCTCCTAAGCTAGAATTTCAGCACTGAAGGTCAAATGAATTGCTTCTTGAAATAAACGCCAAATATTTAGAGAAGTGAATACATGCCCATAAAACTGAGGCATGAACTATTGTTTTCTTTAAGATGAAACTGATGCTACTTGGCCAGTGAGCACAAGTGTGAGCTATTGCCAGAATAACTGACCAACAGACCAACTGTACAACTATATTAACAATACTCAGAGAACTTTCCATTCTCCTGGAAAGGGGTCGTGTGAGAAATGGTGTTTTTTTTTGTTTGTTTCATTCAGATCTAAACAAATGTAATATATTTGCTTTGCCTTTGTCAACAGCTGTATTGCTACCCATTTAGAAAATTTAATATTGTTTGCCCACATTATTTCATGTATGTGCCTCCTTGAAAAATAGTGAGTTTTTTGTGTGTGCCTGTGATCTGCATTGAAACTATGGTTATTGATCATTTCTTAAGTTGGTCAATGAAATTTCTAGGCATTAATAAGTCACTAAATAATTCTGGGAGCATAAGAGGCTTTGCTATCAGCAGTAAAGAATGTTATGGTATAACCTGGCATTGTTCAGTGTACATACCAGTGTTTGCAATGTGCAGTACTCCAGAAATTATTTGTGGCATCTTCTGAGAAGGCAACCTCTCTGCCCAGCCATCGTGATCAATGATTCTTCTCCAGTTGGCATAGGGACTTTTAATGTGGCCTTCCAATATACACGTAACTGCAGAACAGCCACTCCATCGAACCCTGGATATTTCATTCCTGCCAAGCCGTAAAAGCCTATCCATTCTCCAAAATGCTTTTGCAAAGGCTTTGTGTATGTTCTCGTACTCACGCGTCAATTCTTTTGTTCTTTTCTTTAGAGAAAAGCAGCTTTCTATAACTCTGTATTCTTCCCTAAACACTGTATGAAAGGAATGGATCAGTTTTTCCTCTTCAGGGGTCATGTGGTAGGAACGATCGTATCTGGAAAGCTGATGGAGAAGAAGAACAGGGAGTTCCATTGATGTCAAGTCTGCGGCTGAGGCACCATGATGCCCGTCAAACAAACCAAAAAAGCACACGTTGGGTTTATTGCCAAAATTGTTCACTACAGTGAATTTGTCATTCATGGCAACCCTCCATGTAGAATTCCTGTCTTCACAAATGGCTACTCCTTTAATTAATAGATGGCAGATGGTTTGAGAATATATGGAACTGCTGTTAATGTTATCAGTAATCTTATAGTATGCTGGTACTTGTCTCTTCAAAAGTAGCTCGAAAGCATTATCGATGCTCCGTAGGACTTTTTCAGTGAATGTGAAAGATGACAATAGTTTAGTAATTATAAGCTGCCTCTGAGCAGCAATCGCTGAGGGCCCTGGTTTCTTTTCACCCATACACTGAAACTCCAGTGTGGCCAGAGCTACATGTTGCTTTTTATGGAGGAAAATTCCAGGCAGGTCAATTTCATGCTGGCATATGGAGCAGGGAAATGTGATCGCTTGACCACAGCTCTGCTCGTGATAGTCCTCAGGGTCTCTTAGTGGTGTCTCTTTCTTCTTCCTCCTAAAATGCTTTCTTCTAGATGGAAGTGGAATTTCCCCATCTGACTCAGATGGCGGTCTTTTCTCAATCCATGCCTTTGATTCCCAAAACACTCTGCAAACAGGAGAAAAGATATTTACATGCCAAGAATGATGCAATGAAAACCTCTTCAAGCAGGCCCTTATCTCTGCAATTTGCTTTGGCTCCTCACGATTTTATATAGGCCTAGAGTTGAATATCATGAGGCATCGGTCTGTGATTTCCAAAGAACACAAACATGGTAAGGGCTCAATCAATTGGTGATTGACCTCTGTGTATGACTGAATGAAGTTAGGCAAAACCTCCACCAAGTCAGCTACACATCTAAGAATACTCAGAGAAATCAGCACAGTATTTTATCCCAGGCATGTGAAGGTACCTGCTTGAGACCTAGGAATTTGATTTCAAATATGAGCATAATTATTTTTGTACTCCATTTTGTCTTGCTTGAAATACTTTTGTCCTAAATAATGGGCTTGCAAGAAAATGATTGGGAGATGCCAAAACAAAGCAAAGTAATGAAAAGAATTGATAGTAAGAGCAATATTTTAGGACTATAAAAGTCAAGAGGTATGGGCTAAGGAAAGGGAAGGACAGATGGGCAGCTAGGTGTGAATTTCGGGAGAGCTGGCACCCTTTCTTATACTCTTTCCTACCAGAAGCATCTAGAACAGTACTCAGCACATGGGGATATTTTTATTCATTTTATGCACAATTCCTAGGTCGTGGGATCTTTGCAAGGGCCTAGGGAAATGTTAGAGACCTGTAAAATATGCTTTGGTTATAAAATATTTTTAAACCTGGAAAGTCAAAGTGAGTAGCTTAAAATGCTTATGAAGTGTGACATTTTGAAAACTAGTTTACTTAACTCATGTATCAATTCTATTTGACATGGGTATATTTAATGTATTAGACTAGAGCCCACAAGGACTTAAAACATCTCAGGCATAATAATAGGTAGTCAATAGGTATGTTGATGGTTCTTGAGATAAGAAATGAGCCTAGGGCCGGCCGAGTGGCGCATTGGTTAAGAACTGGCTTGGGACTCCAGAGGACCCCGGTTCGGATCCTACATATGAGGGCCAGTGACACTGCCCTCCACAGCTAAGATNAGAGGAAGATTCCATTCATGTGAAGTGCATAAACTCGCAAACTAAATAACACATTTTTAGGATGCAAACACGTGATAAAATGATAAATAAAAGCAAGGTAATGATAAACCAATCTCCAAAACAGCACTTATCTCAGAGAGGCCAGGGAAATAAATGGAATTGAAGTCTTCAAGGTAATACTCACTAGAGGATGAATACGTTATTCTTCATAATATTCATAATATAATATTTTGTATATACATTTAAAATGTTACTTTGTGCCTGTTCACTATTGTAAAAATGAATGAGGCAGCATTGTTTACAGGGCTCAAAAATGAGTGATTAGTTTACTAAATGAGTCATAAGCACACTGAAATACTATAAAACTTATACAAACAATCCAATTTATTTATAAAGAAGTCGACTAAATGTTTGATGAAAAAAAACAACTACAGAACAGCATAAATAGGATGAACCATTTATGTAAAATTGTATAGATGTATAAAGAAATAGCTTAGAAATATGTTTACCAAATTACTAGCCTTAGTTTTTCTTTGTAAGAAATTTTTACTTTCTTATTTTTGCTTTTGCATAAAGATTTTAAAATGAGAATGTATCATTTCCCCACAAGTAATTAGATATTTTCAAATTAAATAAATCTATGCCTTTTTTAATATTTTTACATAAAAACTGTCATGTATTTTTAAATTTTTTGAAAAAATAAATCAATTTAAAAGAAAAGTCATAGAAAATTGTACTTGCTTATTATTAAAGTGGAAAAAATAAGCAAGCAAGTGAGCTTTTAAGTGAAAGTGTTCTTTTCCTCCTTCCTCAATCCATCGTCCAAAGATAGACTCACTGGATGACATGAATCCTTTCGAGTCAGAAAACAAGTGGATTATATTTCTTTCACATATTCTCATATAGATACTGTTCTATAATTTGCTTTTTCACTTAGCAATAATATTGTTGACACTGTTTTATATCAGTTCATATAGATCTACCTTATTCTTTTTTTTTTTTTTTAGTGTTTTTCTTTTCTTATTTTTTTGTTTTGTTTGTGTGTGTTTTTGTTTTTTGGGTTACCTTATTCTTTTAGATAGCTACAAAATATCCCATTGTATCAGTATACAAAAAGTTATTTAATGTTTTCTGTATTTATGGAACTTCAGTCTGCAACAACAAAATCCTTGTGCATATATCCATAAAGGTAAACTCCTAGTAGTGGAATTCCTCTGTCAATGACTAAGTTCATTTTGAAT